TTATTATTATTATTATCACAATAATTATCAGTATTATTTTCATAACCACTATCGCTATTTTTATTATGTTCAATATTGCCGTTCTCGATATTAATTCTCGTCTAACTATTTCCCTGACCACTGCATCTGTTATTCCGATCGTTACTGCTGCTTTTATTTTCACCATTTAACACTCGCCAACCGCAATAATTACCGCTACACTCTCATTTTCCTGAGCAACTTCATCGTCGCGAAGTATTTTTTCACATTATCATTCGAGACAAATCAAATCCGAATAAAAGTGTATCGTCCACCTGACCTTTCCACTGTATGACACGCATTCTGTATACGTGTACAAACATCATTATGCACTTACTGACGACGATAACGAATACTATGCGTATGCCATATGCAAATATCATCATTAGAACTGCTAGTTTCCAGGGACTGACTCTCTCAATTTGGCGCACTCTTTTGCAGTAGTTCTCTGACGAGATGATCGAATAGGAACGCGCTGCGCTTAGCCAATGAATTGGCTCCACCCGATCGCTAGGGTGGTCGGTGGTGATTGGTTTACGCTGTGGACGTCCACTCAGCAAGTGACTCGCCAGCTTAACGCCACATCATCGGGGCGTGCGTTCGCTTGTCATCCGAGCAAGTTCGCCTATAATTTAAGGTTATTCTCGCTGATCGATCCACATTTCGTCGTCGGTTGATCTACCTACCTGCTGTCCTGTTTCGTGATCATGCGATTCACGGCGCTCGTCTTAGCGGCTCTCTTAGCTGCCGTATCTGCCAAAGTTTACTTCAAAGAGGAATTCCTCGGTAGGTGTGCATTGGTTCATTATTTGCTTGTTACCGTTTACAGTCAGTGCCAGAAGACGTTCGCCAGGATCTTGCGCTCGAGAACACCGTCACCGTTTACAGTGCCATAAACGATTGATCGTGTCGAGCTGTGTGTGTTGATGGAAATATTTTCGATTTTATGGCATTTGCATTCGTTGCCAGTTGTTAAACAAACAGGCGATTTCAGATGATTCCTGGGAACAACGATGGGTTCAGTCGAAGCACAAAGATGACTATGGTAAATTCAAACTGACCGCTGGCAAGTTCTATGGTGATGCGCAGAAGGACAAAGGAATTCAAACATCGCAGGTTGGCGAATTGAAAAATTACTCGATTATTCGCGAGTGTTTTTCTTTTCATGTTTCTGCACAGCATTCATTCATTCGTTTTTATTTCACTGAACACTTGTTTGCTACTGAAAAAATTCGTTTTGTATGCATGCAAAATCAGAAGTTAAGTTCGATTGATTTAAGGATGCCAAGTTCTATTCGATCGGCGCTAAGTTCCCGACTAAGTTCACGAACAAAGGCAAAACAACTGTGATTCAGTTCTCAGTGAAACATGAACAAAACATCGATTGTGGTGGTGGTTACGTTAAGGTGTGTTTTATTTATTGTTTATGCATTCATTTATTTTATTGAACCCGCTCGTAGAGTCTCAAACTAATTTCCCGTCATATTCATTCACAAGTTCTGGAATCATTTTAGGTGATGGCATCTGATGTGGACTTGGAAGATTTCCACGGTGAAACGCCGTACAATGTGATGTTTGGACCAGATATATGCGGACCTGGCACGAAGAAGGTTCATGTGATCTTCAGCTATAAGGGCAAGAATCACTTGATCAAGAAAGATATCAGATGCAAGGTGCGTACGATTTCTTCATCCATTCGTTTCGCCACTTTATAAACTGAGTTATCCAAAGCAGAATAAAAGACCGTCGCCACTGTTCACTTTTGAACAATTGATAGCTTGTGAATTAGTATTCTTTAGCTGAAACGGCAATGACAGATTATTCATTATATATTAAAATGTTAGCGATCCTATTGTTTTGTTAGGAATGGTTTTTGAAATGGTGAAGTGAATGAATTCAGGATGATGAAATGACGCATTTGTATACACTGATCCTGAGCCCGGACAACACTTACGAAGTACAAATCGATGGAGAAAAAGCTGAGGGTGGTGAGCTGGAGGCTGACTGGGACTTCTTGCCAGCAAAGAAGATCAAGGACCCCGATGCGAAGAAGCCCGAAGACTGGGACGAGAATGAGTATATTGATGATCCAGAAGACGAGAAGCCTGAAGACTGGGAGAAGCCAGAGCATATTCCGGATCCGGAAGCAAAGAAACCAGAGGATTGGGACGATGGAATGGATGGTGAATGGGAGCCACCGATGATTGATAATCCGGAATATAAAGGTGAATGGAAACCTAAACAAATCAAGAACCCAAAATACAAGGTTGGTGGTTTTAATATTCACAAGATAGCGTGAATGTGTTTATTCCTTGATTTGACTGATGATTAGTGATGTATAGATGAATTGCGTATGATCGTAATGCAAAGTGATTGTTTCAGGGTAAATGGATTCATCCTGAGATCGATAACCCGGAATACACAGCCGATGATAGCTTGTATGAATACAAGGATTGGGGAGCGATCGGCTTCGATTTATGGCAAGTGAAGTCGGGTACGATCTTCGACAACATCATCATCACTGACTCGGTTGACGAGGCGAAGGTTCGTTTATTTGTTGCGTTTTTGTTAGTGCGTTGACTTGTGGTTGTCGCTGGTATTGTGAATATTTGTAAGGATCGGACGATGATTTCAGGAGTTTGCAAAGGAAACGTTCGAGAAAACAAAAGAGGGCGAGAAGAAGATGAAGGAGAAGCAGGATGAAGAGGAGAAGAAGAAGATGGAAGAGGAGGAGAAGAAGAGGAAGGCCGAGGAGGACAAGAAGAAGGAGGATACGAAGGAGGACGAGGATGAGGACGAGGACGAGGAGGAAGGTAAAGAGGACGAGGACGAGAAGAAGAAGGAGGAGGACAAGGAGAAGAAGGACAGCGAAGAGGTGAGATTTGACTCGTCAAATTGATAGCAAATATTTTTGTTGTGGTTATTTTTGTGTTGCGTTTATTGTCTCACCTTTAATGATATTATGAAATGATTTCAGGAGAGTCACGATGAGCTGTAATTGGATAGTGGCGTTATGTGGCCATATAATGGGAATACGATGGTGTCGTCCCGTTCATATACGCCATATTTGCCTTGAAAGTAGTTGATTTTGAGTATCTGATTGATCAACAATTTAAGGTTATCATTCGTTTATGAGTGCATCAATTCAGTCTCATCAACTATCTGTTTATTTATTGTATAAGTGATCATTATTATCGTAACGTTGTTATTGTTATTACATTGTTCTCGTTTTGGTTATTTGCAAGTATTGAAGAGTTGCTCGTAACTTGTATTTATATCATCATGTCATTTAATTTCGTGTTACCGTTCTCGGATGGATCTCCTCTTATAATCGGTCGTGCGTTCACCAACTTGTGGTGTTGTTAAGGATGTGAAGTTTGGTTGATAACATGCAGTTATCGCTGTGCAGAGATTTTT